CACCATGGTCTTTCCTCCAAACAGGCAACATCTGCTACCAATATGCAAACTTTTGAGGGTTCATATATGTATATGTTCTGCAACTTTTTGTTCCACTGCAGCCTCCAACTCAGCCAGGAGTGGCTAAAGCAATTGTCCAAGGCAAGACTGTCTAATCTGCCCTTCAGAAGAGTATTCTTTTTCCAAGAAAGCGTTGAGGAATGTCCAACAATCAGCCCTCAAAGATTCCACAGATCCCATCTCTCTCTCTCTCACATACACACAAATATATCAAATACAGCAGTTCTCAGTTCAGTAGGCACAGATTTGGAGACTAGCACATATTATCCAGAAAAAAGATGATAGGTTCAATTTATTAGGAGTGCCCTCGGTATTACACTTGTTAAACTATGCCGGGGTGGCCAAACCGTGGCTCGAGAGCCACATGCAGCTCTTTTACAGTTTAAGTGCAGCCCACAGATTCCTCTCCCCCTGTCCCCATTCTCCACCTATCAGACTGTGTGTGGCGGGGGGGGGCGGGGGCGCGCGCGCTCAGGACTTCTGCCCTGTAGTGGGATGGTGGGGCTAGAGTAGGATGACCAGATGTCCCAATAAAATCGGGATTGTCCCGATATTTAACCCTTTGTCCCGCGTCCTGATCAATGTATGATCGGGACGCCATTTGTCCCGATATTCAGGTAAGGAGGCAAGCGGGAGGGAGGCGCTGACCCTGTGGGTGCTCCGGAGCACCCACGGGGAAAAATTGCACCCAAACTCCCCCCATCTCGCCTCCTTTCCCCCCCCTTCCCCCAGCGCGCAACGTCCCTGCTCCTCCCCCACTCCAGCACTTCCCACCACCAAACCGTGCTTTCCAGGAGGGAAGGGGGAGGAGTGGGTACACGGCGCGCTCACGGGAGGAGGCGGAGAAGAGGCAGGGCAGGGGCAGAGACTTGGAGGAAGGGGGTGGAATGGGGGCAGGGCAAGGGCGGAAAGAGGCGGGGGGTGGGCAAGCACTCACCCGGGAAAGGGGAAGTCAGCACTGTAGGGGTGAGTGGCGGGTGGGGAGGCAAGCGGTGGGTGGGGGACTGAGAAGGGACGCAGCAAGCCAGCGGATGAGGAAGGGCGCGGTCGGAGGGCCGAGTGGGGAGGGAGCGGGACCGGGGGCACAGTGGGGGAGGAGCCCGGGAGGAGCAGGGGTGGACTGTGGGCGGGGCCAATGTGTCCCAATATTTTAGTGTGGTGATCTGGTCACCCTAGGCTAGAGGCTTCTGCCAAAAAGACTATTGGTGCTTGCTGGGAGTGGAGCGATACAATGTAAAGGTTCCCCCCACCCCAGCAGCTTAATCATGCCCCTCCCCCCCCTTTACTCTCAGCAGCCCTTCCTTGCCACTCCCAGGTGTTAGCTCCCAGCGGAGCTAAAGCAGCGGCCCCTCCCTGCAGTTCCCAGCTGTTTGCTGCTGCCTTGCCTGGCTGGCGTGCCCCACAGGGCTGAAGCCCCAAAACCCCACTCCATGCAGGGCTGAAGCCCCAAGCCCCGGCAGGTGCCTCCCATGGGGCTGAAGTCCCAAACTCCAGCAGGCACGCCCCAGATCTCGGACTTCTGAAGATTGTCGTATGAGAAAGACAAAAAGACAGAAGCAATAAAGGATTTATCAAATTACAGGTATCTACCAAGATATTTTTGAAGGTTGAACCTGACAGGCTAGGCGTGCTACGCACAGAAGGCAAACAGCTGAAGACTGTGTCTACGACAGACATTTTAGAAAAATCTTCCACATATTGCATTATCACCGGTGCACCTCCACCACTGGGAGCCCCAATAGAGGCACAGCACTTACTTTTAATCATTGTCTTCTCCAGTTCTGCTCAGAGCAAATCTATATCATACTGTGATAACTCCCATAGCCACCTGAGTCCTGTCTACACTAGTACTTCCTGAGTTACCACCACCAGCAGAGCCATACCAGTAATAGTGAAATGGTGGCAGATTTCCAAGGAAATCTAGCATACACAAGGCTAAGGACTTGAGCTTGAGCCCTTCTTCCTAAGTCAGCAATGCTGGGGATGCAACAGCTCAATTAGCAGAGGGAAGGAGAGCCCTCAATGCTCCTTTTATGCCTTCCAGCTGACTCAGAAGCAAGGCTGACAGGTTTTAAAGGACACTGAACCTAACCATAGCCCTTAGCCACATTCTTTGGTCAGAAGGATGATCAGTTCAATTCTGGAATCAGATATGGAACTTACAGACACTGATATATATGTGCATGTGTACACACACTTTCCCCAAAATAAAAGCCATGGCACCTCAAGAGCAGCAGTGGTGCTTGATGCCCTAGCTTCTTGGGTGGCCAGTGTGATTTAGCCTTCAGCTTTATATATTGAACTGGTGTGTATATCCAATAGGTCTAGCAAAATTGCACACCTTGTTCAGCTGACAGTGTGCTTGGTGCTGTACAACATAAAGGAAAGACTTGGGTCCCATCCTAGGGAACCTACAATCTAAATGATTGTTGCTTATTCTTAAAATCTCTTTGTATAAACCTACCATTACTTCTACCTAGCCAGGAAATATTAGGCCTTTGCAAACTGGACATATATACTGCTGCTACACATCTTGCCTAACCAATTAGCTAGGAGCCAATAAAGAGGAGGATGATAATACTGTGCTCACTTCAAGTGAGCAATCCTGCTGAAATCAGGAGCCTTTCCTGAATGAATAGGGAAAAACACATGTAATACAGATGTTAATTTCAGAGCTGCAATTTATTTTCTCTTAATTGCTTAAAGGAAGTTGAAAGTTAGAAGCTATAACTTAGGAACATTACTGCACTGTATCACTGTTATTGAAGAAGTAACAACTGTCCATATTTAAGTGCATCACACAACCACCCATGCTGATTTATAAAGAAAAGATGAGATCACTTAACTGTTACAACTGCTAATGTCTTAAGAGTTTGACCCACAGAAACTAGCACTCTGGCCCAAATTCTGACTTTTAAGCCCAGTGAAACTCCAGTAAAGTGCACAAGCTGTAACGCAGCAAAGAATTTGGTCCGATGTACTACCTTGCATTTTACAATTATAACGTTAGCAGTGGTAATAGTTAACTGGCCTCCCTTGAAAACGCACAAAAAGAGGATTGTAATACCTCTCTCTCTCAAAACATACTAGCTCTACCATTTACCTAATCCCTATCCATAGAATTCTCTCTTCATTCCCTCACAATACGCTGCATGCCTTCCCAAGCCAGACATTACCAGATGTGTAAAAGGCTCAGGAATGGCACTCTGGTAGACAGAAGAACAATGCAAGAAGTTACATTTCTGGTTTCTCACTCAGAAGAGTTAAAACAAAATGCTTTAAATGAGTGCAAGATTCCTTATATAGATATATCCTTCTGTCCCCCTTTTTTGTGTGCTTGCCTGTCTCTGCCTACTCAGTGCCATTCAGGTTTGCGGATGCCGTTACTGGTAACAACCGCGTTGCAAGGCCTGAGAAAGAGCATGTACGTGAGCTCTGGCAAAGCAGTCCATGAGAGTGATGTCATCATGCTATGACAGGAAACCAGAAGTACAACCACCAACAATGAAAATGACTATACACAAAGTGCTGCCAAATGCACAAACTAAGCAAACTGGAAAAAAAACAAGAAAGAAAGACTGGGTTGGGGGAAATAAATCTGAGGTGTTACTATTTGTTACAAATAGGTGTCCAACTTTAAGATGAAAATTTGATTTTCAAATTGACCATTTCTCTTTAACTTGCACCTTTTGCTTATTTGGTCTTGGAAGTCTTTGTATCTGGACCATGCCAACAATATTCACAGTTATCCTGTCCCTATATACCATCTCTAGATGCTCCTAATGTCCAGCAACACTGGCCTCACGATGCTGTACCTGGGCTCTGAGGGCCATGAGCCGCTTGCATTAGGTGCAGACATACACCACTTGACCACAAAGCAAGTACTCTGTGCAATATAAGACCACCTGAAAAGAGCTCTGTAGCTTGAAAGCTTGTCTCTTTCACCCACAGAAGTTGGTTAAATAAAAGATATTACCTCACCCACTTTATCCCTCTGATATCGTGGGACCAACACAGCTGCAATACTTGGAATAATACACTGAGTGGCACCTATCCTGATTAATCCACTGCTTGCCTTCTCCCTCCATAGTTAGGGTGCATTTAAACTGAGTAGAGATGGATTAACTGTGTGTGTTTTCTTCTTATTAATACTGAGGTTTAGATAGACTAAATAATTAAATTTAGATGTCTAACTTCCCTTAACGCCTAACACTCACTGAGTCCCAACTCCCCTGTGCTCATTCTGTCTACTGCCTTCTCACTTGGTGCGGGGCCTCTCTCACTGCTTCAGAAGGGCCCTCCACACAGCCTAGCTTTGTAAATATAGCTATCTAGAACAAAGCTCAATGGCCTTTGCCATCCCCATCCTCTCCCACTTGCTTATTTACTAATGATCAGAACAGTTTCCTCATGTCAAAAAATACTTTTAATGAAGAACTTTTCCCTATTTCCCCTGGTTAATTGTTTGCTACTGGAACCCAACCTGGGACCACAAATACTTTGATACAAGAAATGTCACTAACACCTTCAAATTAGGACTTCAAACTTCTTCCTATGCACAAAGCAAAATAAATTATAATGATAGCAATTTAAGTTACAATATTATGTCTATGTATACCAATGAAAAGCAAAAAGCAACAGAGAGTCCTGTGGCACCTTTAAGACTAACAGATGTATTGGAGCATAAGCTTTCGAGGGTGAATGCCCACTTCGTCGGATGCACGTCCGACGAAGTGGGCATTCACCCACGAAAGCTTATGCTCCAATACATCTGTTAGTCTTAAAAGGTGCCAAAGGACTCTGTTGCTTTTTACAGATCCAGACTAACACGGCTACCCCTCTGATAAATGAAAAGCAAGTCACCAAAGAACCTGCAATCAGAAAGAGCAGAAATACAGGAATATTTTTAAAGAACAATCTAGGTTTCATATAAATCTCACCTTAAATCTTTTGTCCTGAAGAACTTTCTTAATGGCCACAAGCTCGCCTGAATCGCAGAGTTTGGCTTGATACACAACACCAAAAGATCCGTTTCCAATCACTTTGGTGTCTGTATAGCTAACTTCTTGTGGTCGATCCGGACCCTGTCCAGGAGTTGCCACCACCGTAGTCACTTTGCTGCCATCTTTATCTCCTGGAAAAGCAGAGAACATTGAGTTAAGAAACGTGCGTGAGTGAGAGTATCAGACAGACTATCACTGAAGATAGAGTAACTTTACTCAGTTTTGAACTATCTTAACATGACAGGGAAGGGAAAGGAAACCATGCAAAGAAAAATGTAATATACTGTTTGGCACATATTTAGTGAGATAGAAATTGGTACACTGGTACATCTAACTTCTTCCATGCAGTACAGTTTGTTATTTATATTGCTAAAACAAACATCAATCCACTTCCCAATATTTTACTGTAACTATCGCAATCAAATTGCCAATTTAACCAGTAGAGCAAGAACTCTTTCCTTCAAACATATATATCTAGCTACAAACAACAACAACTTTGGAAGTGCTTGTCACAACTCCTCAGTTAAGGCTGCAATCAGCAATCCATTAAGAGCCTAAAACCTTGTCTATACTGGGGAGTTCAGCCCTCAGCACCCAGACACCAGTTTAGCTGCACCAGTGTAACCCCACTACCATAGACAGACTGCACCATTGCTGCTTAACTCCATTTGAAACCAGATTAAGCAGCATCTGTACAAACTGAAGTTTATAACAACTTGACCTACCTACATTAGGCATTTGCACTGCTTCACTTACACTGGTGGCTAGCTACTAATGAGCATAACCGAGATAAATTCCCAATGCAAACAAAGCCTTATTTGACAAAATGCTCCCTCTCACCCCCACACTTTTAATAGGAACAAGCTAGCCCTATACATTTTGTAGTCATTTTAGCTTAAAAAAAAAATTTTATGGAGTTTCAAAAGTTTAGGATAAATGTTTAAAGCGATTCATTTTTCAAATCCGCAAGATGTGTTATGATTCTTTGATTCCCTTCCCTCAGAAACTGCACCGTTTCTAAAATCTACAAATTTACATACTCATGCATAACATATGTATTAGAAAAATGTTTTTTAAATAGTAAAGTTACTCAGTGTTCATAGTTATTGGATTACTGTCAGCAAAACTGTGTGTAAAAGTTTACACATTGTTTTACACTCTTCAAACGTTCAGCTCTAAAATCAAATGCATAAACATGTAACTGTCTCAGTTATGAGTCAGTTTCTTTAAAGTCCCAGAAGACATTGAAGTGGTGAATAAGCCTCTATCCCTACCCTTAGCTCCCTGTGTTCTGGAAAGCTGCTAATTCTCCAGGGTCCCTGAGCTACCTGGTTATCCCCTTCAGTTCTTGCTACCTTACAAAAGCTCCTAACTCTGCAGGATACCTAACTCCCCTTCTTTATAAGGTAGTGAGAGCTAAGAGGGAGGGACAATCTAGTAGCTCAAGGACCCAAGGAGTAAGCATGACCTTTTTAAAATGTGAGTTTGAAAAGTCCATTCACCTGTGGAAGTAACAATCTCTTCCAGGCAAGTACCACCAATTTCTGCAGAATCTAGCTTTCCTTTTTCACTGCTACTACTGAGAATCCGGTGACCAGCAGCAGTCAAACATACAGAATCAGGTCAATGTCACTGTCTTGAGAATGAATGTTATTTCTCCCTTTCAGCAGTCAAAAGGGGCAGGAACACACATGAGGTTTCAAAATGATTAGCTCACCTACTAGCCAAAGGCTAGAAGAGATGGAACCACTAAGCAGTCTTCAGACAGCACCTGTGTTCCCTCTAAGCTGCACGGTCGCACAGCTGCCCAGCAGTTAATCAAGTGGCACGCACTTCATTAGCAGAGCCGCGCACATCCAGCAGTGTGCGTTCAGGTGCCCCTCCCACCGCTGCTTTGCAGCCATGTTGCTCCTGCCCTCTGCCTTGGAGCCCTGGCAAACGGTTTCCAGACACTCCTGCTTGCTGTGCAGTGTTTGGGGGGTGGGGGAGGGAGGATGACTGATGTCAGGGTGTCCCACTCCCCGCCCACGTTCCCCATCTCCGCAGAGCCAGGAAAGGGGGACAGGGCTCAGGAGCAGGAGATCAGATGCAGTCTGAACAAGCCTTCCAGCGGTGAGTGAGTGCCTTAACGAGACAGCGCACGGTCTCAGACTTCCCCAGCAGCCAGCACGCACACGCGCACACACACCCCCTCTAAACACACACGCACACTTACTTGTGTTGTTGCTGTTGTTACTTCTTGGTACTTCCTGCAATGCACATATATTCTCTGTAATTTTATTGTTTCAAAGTGTGTTATTTTAGTTTTTTGACTGGTCTATGCATTTCATAATTTTTATTTCTCTCTTATGCTTAAATTTAATTCTTTGAGTAATGATTACTAAAATGCCTAACCTGTCCTGGCTGGAATAATTATCCCCATGGTAACTTTTTAAAAATATATATTATAACCAGGTTTTTGGTTTCTACTGGTGACACACATCCGCACATTACCTCGATATTGGTGCACATAACAAAATTCGTTTTGTAGATGGATGGAAAAAATTAGAGGGAACATTGGACAGCACCCTGGTATGAATTCCAGTTTTCTCCTTTTCCCAACAGCTGAAGGGGAGTTGGGGACCACCCTGATTTCTCACTTGGGCATCACTCCCGGAAAGTGGAACCACTGATTTAGTTTAACCTTGCAACTATTAGATGTATGGTACATTTTTCAAATTCATGAAGGATGGGTGGATGAGTTAAAAAAAGTTTATTTTTAAAAAAAGAACCCACTAACACAAATGTGGTAGGTACTTCACTAGAGATACTTGGAAGACAGGCCCCTACCCTAAGAAGCTTACAAGAAGTAGGGGAGGAACTAGAAGTTAGAATACATTTGGAAAAAGAAAACAGATAAAAGGGTGCAGGGAGTGAGAAAAGAGGAAGCAGATGATGGAGAATAAGGACTTGTCTACATGGGGGTATCAATCAGATTGCTTTGATGTGCCTTATTTAACGTGCAATACACAACCTGCACTAATAGTGTGCACCTGGGATGGCTGTGCTCTTTCAATTCGCATCCGAATTGCACAGCGGTGGCTTGAGACATACTAAATGCATGGCATTCTCTGGGGATATCCTATGGTCCTTTGCTTCACTGCTCAGCAGTTTGCATTTGGAGATTTTTTTTCACTGGGTATTGTGGGATGCGTAGCAGACACCAGGTGGGTTCAGATTTTTTTTAAAAATCCCATGTTTCCACCATCTCCAACCCATACTTCCTTTCTAGTTGCGCTAGTGCCATTTTTGAATTGCTATAAGCAGTATGGACCAACAATGCTCCAATGGTCCAACAATGGACCACTATGCTGGCAACTGCAACCTTCTGAGAGATATGTGCTGAACTAACCCTGGACTTGCAGTGGCAGCATACCAATGTGTGGTGCCACATGCTCGTCAAGAAGGGGGTTGCCAGTGCCAGCTAGAAGCTGGCCACCCCTGAATTTTAGTAGTCTGCAATAAGCCAAGTCATTTGAGGCCATCACAACTATACATACAAAATGATGGGGTCTAAATTAGCTGTGACCACTCAAGAAAGAGATATTGGAGTCATTGTGGATAGTTTTCTGAAAACATCTGCTCAATGTGCAGCGGCAGTCAAAAAAAAGCCAACAAAATGTTGGGAATCATTAAGAAAGGGATAGATAATAAGACTGAAAATATCATATTGCTTCTATATAAATCCATGGTACGCCCACATCTTGAATACTGCGTGCGGATGTGGTCGCCCAATCTCAAAAAAGATATTGGAATTGGAAAAGGTTCAGAAAAGGGCAACAAAAATGATTGGGAGTATGGAACGACTACCATATGAGGATAGATTAATAAAACTGGGACTTTTCAGCTTGGAAAAAAGATGACTAAGGGGGGATATTATAGAGGTCTATAAAATCATGGCTGGTGTGGAGAAAGTAAACAAGGAAGTGTTATTTACTCCTCATAACACAAGAGCTAGTGGCCACCAAATGAAATTAATAGGTGGCAGGTTTAAAAACAAAAAGGAAGTATTTTTTCACACAATGCAGTCAACTTGTGGAACTCCTTGCCAGAGGATGCTATGAAGGCCAAGACTATAACAGGGTTCAAAAAAGAACTAGATAAATTCATGGAGGACAGGTCCACCAATGGCTATTAATCAGGATGGGCAGGGATGGTGTCCCTAGCCTCTGTTTCCAAGAAGCTAGGAATGGGCAACAGGGGATGGATCACTTGATGATTACCTGTTCCGTTCATTCCCTCTGGGGCATCTGGCATTGGCCACTGTCGGAAGACAGGATACTGAGCTAGATGGACCTTTGGTCTAACCCAGCATGGCAGTTCTTCTGTCATATAGGTGTGTGATGCTACTATGGTTCTGGTACTGTTGCACTGGGATATAAAGCTTGGTAATGCTCAAAATATTGACGGCTTTGCACACATGGGATTCCCAAATTGTACTGTGGCAACTAATGGGATATGTGTGTCTATTTCCCTCTCCTCTCACATGTTCTGGATATTAAAAAGTCTATTTGCTTAGCTGGAGTTCAATTTTATCATTGAGGGAGTTGTGCAGTCTCGTATAGTTACAATAAAGATGGGCCATACTGCCACCAGCACTTCAGTGTACTAGAAACCAGTCTCTTTCACATTATTGTGGACTCTTTGCCTGGGTGTGAGAGATGCTTTGAAGTTTGCTTGGTATCTGGAGTTTTGGTCCTTTCTTTAGATTTTCAGAAGAAATAATTTAAGTATTTTAGTTCTCTTATAGACAGGGCTCAGAATTTATAAACAGAAGGGGGTATTTCTCCACAGTGCTCAAAGAGCTGGTTGATTGCTGCAGCAGGTTTCTAAACCTAAATCAGGATCCCCTAGAAGGGTCCATGATGCTAGGATCTTTCAGAAAATTCAGCTCCCCTTGGAAGCCTGGTTCAGAGCTTAACTACCCTTACAGCTGCAAAGTTTTCCTTAATGTTACTAAATCTCCCTTGCTGCATATTAAGCCCCTCATTTCTTGTCCTATCTTCAGTGCACCTGGAGAACAACTGATCAGCGTCCTCTTTATAAGAAGTCCTTCATATATTTGAATGCTGTTAATCAGGTCCCTCCTCAG